CCTCATCCTCATCCTCATCCTGTCTAGACGGCGAGGAGCTTACCTGGATGCCAGTCTGGACGGCCATGACAGCGATGACAGATTCACTTCTTCATTCTGAGGAGAGATGAGACAGAGAGACGGGGGTGAGATCATGTGCTCGTGTTCAGACAGAGGATGAATCAGGAAGTCCAGCCGTGTTTCTGAAAACCTCATATCAAGATGTACACGGTATCTGATTATGCAAACGGCTACTCGGGGCAGGTTTTAGATAGTTCGACGTTGTGGGAAACTCAATCTCGTGCCTGAGTCTTTTGGAAGGCTTTTAGCTTAGCTTAGCATAAAGATTTGAAGTAGAGGGGGAAAACAAGCTTTAACCATTTCTTGGCAAACAACAGCTGGGACCTGGAGTCTTGTCATCACTTTGGAGATGCCAGACATTATTTATAAAGCACATCTCATTAAAAATTAACCTCAGTGTCTCTTTTAATTTAGTGCAAATACACAGAGCCTCACACCTCCAGCTGGACGTCCTGATCTAAAACCTCTATCACAATAAGCTGTCACTTTTATATCTTACATAACAATTAATACAACAATCGTTTTCTGAAACATCAGGATATTGTCTTTCTCATACTTGCTGACTTCTGATTTATTTGTCCTGATTATTTACATTCAACCTATTACCTTGGAAATGTCTTGTTTTTTTCCCCCATTGCGGTGGGGGGTATGTTTTAAATATTGCTGGTTAATAACCTGGATCCCTTGTGAGGTTGCCTATAATATGTGTGTATAGTGCCTTCCGACCAATCTTATATGCTAGAGGAGAGAGAATTCAGACAATTTATTGATTGAAAACTGCAATAAATTTAATTGAGGTTAGTAACAGATTCATAACAGTTTTAATTCAATTGGAGCCAAAACGCTTCATTAATTTATGAATTTGGCAACTGAAAAAAATGATGATCAAATTTTTTTTTTTTTAAGTAGTTTTTAAGGCGTTAAGACATTTTTCATATTTTCTCATCTGTATCTTTGGGTTTTAGTTGTTAAGACAAAACAAGCTGTTTAAACAAAAGCTACAGCTCTACACGATTATAATTTTCTGACATTTCACTGATTTATCAATAAAATAATTGGCAGATTAATCAATAAAACAATTACAAGTTGTAAGCCAAAATGAATCACATTCACTCTACCCTCCTGCTTCCTGAGGAAACCCTGTGAATGACCTGCAGGCGTTACTGACATTAAGCCCCATTCAGTTCACACCCAGATTATCTCATCACGTCCATTCAGTCTTTTAAACTAATTTCAGACACGTGGCTCTTCTATTTTAAAAATCTACATCTACATGTCGTCCATTACTGTCACACTGCGTCCACTACAGAACGCCTCAGAAAAGTCACACACCACCTTATAAAATCCCTGTGTCATGAGCGTGTCATCAGATTCACAGGACATAAAGTCAGATTGTGACGGATGTTCTGCTGGTGAAGACGAAACACCATATAGCTGTTATGAAGCGGTAATGGAGGAACATTAAAGTGACTGTTAAACAGGATGTAAGCTGCAAACACTCAGGATGCTGAGAACGGCCCTCTGGGTATTAAAAAAAAAAAAAAAAAAAAAAAAAAAAAAACAGCGAGGCTGTTGTTTTTACTGGATGCACAGTGAGTTTTAGTGGATCAGACTTTTTCACAAGGAAGTGATGCGGTTGGACTGAGTGCTCCTCGCTGCCCTTTCCCACACAGGATGTGAAGGATTACCCCGGACGCTCCACTGTCCCTGAGGGTGTGTGTTTGACAAAGAGAGGCAGTGGGTGGGGGGAGAAAGCAATCACAGGCGCGTACATCCTAATAACACTGATAATTTGGTCAACACAGCTGAGGCAATAGTTCTCCACCAACAACCACCCCCCTCCTCCATCCTCCTTGGACACAAACACCACCTCATATAAAGCTGAAAGTGGGTTCGTGAAACTTCTACGCTGCTGTATTTATATGTTCTGGCATTTTCCACTGATGTCATCAGCCACAGAGTGATGAAACTGATCGTCAAATTGAATCCTTATCTAGAAGTGCCTCCACAACCACAGACGCCAACAACCACATCCTCAGTCGCACATCAAAAAAAAAAAAGGGGCCGCCGGAGAGCACCCTGTCCAGTCATCCGACACCAAGTCCGCAGCTCAGAGGAGAGAAGGTGGTCAGCGGGCCGAGGATGGGACGGGACAGGAAGGATGACACCACAGGACGACTTACCTCAGAAACCCAGTGCGGTACAGAGCGAGGAAACTGCACCGAAACTACTCCGGTCAGCCTCAAAAGCTCATCCTCATCGACGGTAAACTCCACGCTACGCTCAGCGCTGTGCAGCCGGAGCGGCTCCTGCCTCTGTGGTTTTCACGAGTGAGCCGGGAGGGAGAGGCAGCGAGAGAATGACAGGGTGGGAGGGAGGGAGGGAGGATGGATGGATGGGAGGAGGAGGAGGTGCAAGAGGAGAGCCCTGACTAATGAAGTGGCTACGCTTCGCTAAGCTCCGACCGGCCTCCCCCCTTGCCCCCCCCCCCCCAAACAATCCTGTCACGGCGGGACCCTCACAAAGCCTCCATTGTTTTGTTAGCTTGCCACCCTCCCCACCTCTCTCACTCACACACACACACACACACACAAACACAACACACACACTCCTTCTCATCTCCAAACCAGAAAACAAACCAGGAACTCCCCAACCAGGATGCAATGAAATGGAATGAGATGGGATAGAGGCGATGGGGTGGTGGGGGGTGGGGGTGGTGGTGGTGGTGGTGGGGTTGTTACCTCCTCTTCCTTTTCATCCCCCACCTCCCTGCTCCTCTAAGCAGAACACTCCCAGAGGAACGCTCGGCACAAAGTTTGGGGGGGAGCGAGAAAACAATGAGTGTTGCTGTGTTTCAGACTTGACCCTGGCGTCCACGTGGAAAGTGCTTCAACAAAGTTACCCTGGAGGAGCTAAAGTCCAAGTGACAAACAAACAAAACACAGGACGTCATACTGGCCAATCAGATGCCCAGATGTTGTTTTCCACAGCTGTTTCAACCAAGCCTGTTCAAACAAGGAAAGTAGTCTCTCTGAGAGTATGTTCCCATAATTAGAGAACGTAACATATAAAATAAAGTGTTGGGAGGAATCAATTCATGCAACTAAACTGAAAACAGAGTAGTGAGAAGTAACACCCTGAAATCTTCACTGTACTCTTGTCTGCAAACCCTTCCATCATTGGTATACCTTAAAACATAAAAACCACTGAAATTGAGAATCCCTTGTGCTGATGAATATTTATTTTTTAGAAGTAATCAGATGTAAAATTCTGGAGAATTTGGACAGATGATGGAAATAACACAGACTGATGGAGAATTGTGAAATACCAGCACTTAAAAGCTTGAATTGTGGCATCTGGACCGAGCCCGAGAGGTCAGTGAACTCTTTTAAAGTATTGTTTGGAAATGTCCTGAAGGCTGCGGAGCTGAATGACCAGAACCATTCACAGAATGACGACATTTAGGATTTTCAAAAGAGGGGAACAATCCCGGACGGCTCTGCTTCTTTTGGTGAGGGAGAGGTCACTCTCTACAACACGGGACAAAAGGGCAAATCTTTGGTTCTGGACTCCAGTTGTGTGCATCTGGGGCTCCCGGCCGAGCCTGAGAGTACGACTCCCTACAGAGACCAAAGGCGCCCACGCACACAGTCAAATGTCAGGCGAGAGAATCGAAGCCAAAAGCAAGGAGGCGAAGACAAAACGTGTTTTATGGCGGCGGCGGACGCTGGAAAGAGCACGGCTCAACACCGTGACACTGAGCACTACCACGCAAATTCCCGATGGGTCGCAGGGAGGGGAAAAAAAAAAAAAAAAACATCCGACAATGCTGCCACTCTCTCCTGCCATCCATCTGTACCACGCCTGTTCCTCCATCACCTCCCTGCTGCTGACAGTGAACAGGATTTCCATCCAATTTTTGGGATCATGCTTTTAAGACTTTTTTTGTGGCCAAATATGCAGCTGGGCCTCTTACCTTACACCGCTGATTGTCAAGCTCATGACAGGCTCTACCTGATAGGAACAATGTTATTTTTGGCATTTCCGCAAACGCCCCGTTCAAAGAGCAGCGTGGGAATTCACAACTTTCCAAGAATCCAGATAATCCGTTAAGATCGCTCAAACATCAGCTTTTGTTCAGGTGCACATCCGAGCCGTTCCTATATTTCTAAAGCCACATCGGGATTAACTGAGTAAATGAGACACAGAAACCTGGTACATAAAAGACCGTGGTCGTGTTTGGGCTGACGAACCTGTATTTCCTGTTGTGGGTGATATATAAGCCTTGTTTTGGGTTTAATCCCCTCAGGAGAACTGCTGCTTCCAGACTGAATGGACTCAACCACTTTAAGTATTAACTTTAGATGGCTTTTCCAACGTTACATTTAAAGGAGCATTGCTGCCTAACATGTAAACGCAGTTTCCGACATTGC